GCCATATATATATATACATATATATAACTAGACAAACCTTATGGTTGTACGGCAGTGGAGCATCAGTGCCAACACTGATGTTGCTGTCTTTGATGATGATGATGATTTTTAAGATGATGGTGTGCTTGATGATCCCCGTCAAATAACTTACAATTCTTGTAAAAAAAATAGGCGCTTGTACTTCACAGTTGGACTTTCTTATGGTTCTCAGCGAGTCAGAAGACAGAAATAATGGAAGCATAGTACAGTTTCAGCCATATGGGTGGAGAACTACATGAGATTATATAAAATAGCTGGCTGCCCCGCATTCGCAATGGTTTCTCGCCCCATTTGTTCTCGTCCACAATCAGCAATCGTCATCTACTGGTTTGTTTTCACGTCGTCAGCATGCAGCCCAGTCGTGTTGACCTTTCCAGAGCCATTTCTCAAATTTACTGAACGTGAGGCGAGTCTGACTACCTTTAATCTGTCCCGTTCATAACGAACACTTTATCTTCATAACTAGAAGAGATTTTCCAACTATCATGTGGAGAAAAGTGCGACCTTTTGGGAAAATTCTATCGATTGACCTTTTTTTCAACGAAGACATATTTTGGAAGCAGTGGAAAGCTTTCGGATCGAGTAGTTTTTCTACCATTGACAATTTATTCGCTTGATTTTTCAACGCGTAATATTTAACAGGCTTTGTTTCAGGCTACGTCTGTCCAGAGCTGCCTCATTTTGTTTCTGCAAAAAAGCGAAAAATTTCATCACTGACGTCACGTTAAAGTTTCAGTGTTTTCATTTTGTTTGCCCAAGTGACATCTACTGAATGCGCATACACAAATGAATATGTGCACACTACTCGGGGCACAAATGAATTGTTCACTTCTAATTTTCCCTTTGGGCATGGATGAAATTCTCGACCTTTTTATTTCCAACGACTTGTTTTACTTGACCGTTTTCGGAATGCTCGCCTCATCCAACTAGGTCCCACTAGTGAATGGGAGAGTCTCGAACCCAAGGCCTCCCGGTGATCGTTTGAAAACTTGACTGTTCAGCCACGAAAGAGGAATCAGCACTGTGACTGACTGGTACTGAGCCTTCAGTCGAGGGATCCGTATAATCAAGTCAAGTGTTGACCGGTTACCCAAGTGGCTTATTCTTACTTTAAGCTACTTAAAGATTGCTGCTGGTTTGTGGAGATTTAGTAGTTAGCTCAGAGGAAGAATAATTTCACAGGACGTGAGCGAGATGCCACTGGAGGCGCATGTCAACACGTAATCACCAGAAGTGGATTCAGGAACTGGAGGATGAGTGTACTACATCTTGTGTAGTGGGAGTTAAGCAACCACTCGTGGCCGAACAGTTCATTCTTCAAACTGCAAACCGAAGGTTTCGGGTTCGAAACCTCCTAGAGTTTCGGGAGATACGCACTCCTGACGATTTCCGATGAGGATGAAACATCCTCGCAGTTTTTCGGCTTCCGGAACGAAATTTCAGTTGAGCGTATGAGAACTGTACTCTACTTATTGAACATAGATGGGCCGACGAAACCGCTGAATACCATGTCCATTGAACTCCACTGTCCAACGACTTCAGCCACCAGGGGTCTTCCAAACGTCTACAACTGGTTGGAACAAGAAGGCACGCAGTGGCCGTCCGGCCCGATCACCACCCAAACTCTGAGGGGGTACACCTATCTTCTGGAGAAGGTTCTGTGTTCTGTTCTACCAAAAGGACTAGCCTTACGCTGACTTTGTACAGCATGTAACTGATGGTCAAAGCGAGTCCATCTTAGATCAGCGTAGCATAGAAAACAATTAAATCTGGTGATCTTGATGTGGAGTGTGCATCGAAAAGTTCACGTGTACGACACTAGATACGTCCCACCCCGTAAAAACAAGGACATACAGACATGCAAATCAATCAATCTTTACCTCAGAACCATCCTCTACGTTGAAAAGACAACATTTTGGCTTGCCTTCTTCGTGTCTCTGTGGGTAACTTATCGATCAGGTTTCTTGTCTGCTATTTCTAACCTGTAATTATATCTATGGACGAGTAAAACAAAAAAAATCCAACAGACATCAAGAGATGCTCAGTTCAACCACGTCAGCTCAATAAAGACGAATTTAAACAGAATATAACGGTCGGCGAGAACGCCTGAGAACCCACTGCTAGTTTTACATCCCCCTTAAACTCTTCAATTGGACCCGTGAAATTTGGTAATCCCGTTGACGCTTAACTCCTCGTGGAACGCCCAATCGGCGAAGACGATCGGAGCGTAAGAAGACAACGGAGAGTTGATGTGCTGGTGTGGGATCAAATTCGTTTGGAACTCAGTCAGCTTCACGTTCCGAACGCCTTGGAAACTCAGAGAGGTGGTGAAAGAACTCAACGTCCAGTCAAACAGTTCAAGTTTGTATACGTTGGATGATCGATGAACGGGTTACGACGACAGATGTTTTAGATAGCTCTGTTATCAATCACGAAGCGCAATCCCTGTCCTCTAAAGTCGTGTGTGTTGTCAGGATTGAGTTGTAGGGTTCCACAACAGCCTTCACAATCTATGGAGCTGGATAGACGGCGAACTTCATCTTTGCCTTCCTGACATAGTCAGCGGAAAGTCACTCCATCAACAAGGAAGTGGAACCCAATCCGGTTTCACCACCGAATGAGTGAAATACGAGGAAGCCCTGAAGACCTTCACGTTGATCTGACAATTTACGAACACGGCCTACCACCTGATCGCTTCCTTTCCAACAATGCAATGCCCGCGAACACAGTTGCTTGCGATGTCTTCCTGCTCTGGGTGGTCCCTGTTCACCAACTGCCATCGGTTCCAAATCAACAAATACTGCACGAGAAACATAACGACTAGATCCAGTATCGTTGAAGAACTCAGTGAATGGATTGTCATCGGCGTGTCCAACACCATCATTGGATGTACGTCCGTCAGGTTGAATTCCATGCTGTAAGCAGTACAGCTTCCAGCACAAACTGTCCGTCTGAGTACAGACTTGGCCGACACCAAGTTAATTTGCAAACGAGCGTTTTTGGTACCATATGCTCAATTTGGCATTCAGGTACTCGATGGAAATCTGGGGACTCACCTACATGACAGGTCTCAATGAAGAGCAGAACCAGTGGCGGACTATCGGGAACTACCTGCGATCTTATGAGTAGTATCGAAACATACTGTGATCTATTGAGTATGGTTGGGACAGAGGGATCATCCATAGAGCTGGGGCCACTTTTTGTAGATTTGGGGCCGAGATCAACTAGTAGGCTTTGATTTCCAGATTTGTCTTCTTTGCCCTCCATTCTTGTAAACAGGTTTATTGCTTGCGAGGTTGTAAGCCAGAGTGATACTATTGAGAGTTCAACTCATCTAGAACACGACACAAACTTTCAAGCCGTGCGTCTGATGAAAGTTGCCTTTGGAGACTTGTCTCATCCAGCGCTATTCGGAACGGTGTCCGAGGTCAGCGTGAACTTGTATGTACGATCGATGCGTCAGGTGTCGTTCCGCGAGACTTGTATATGAGGCGCGGTGGAGCGTCAACAAACAGCATATTCTTTACCATACTTTCAGTTAATGCTATACAAGTACAAGCGTCCTACGAAAAGCATTCCAAAGTGGTCTGGCCCAGAACACCAAAGATCATTGGTGGTTTTGTGAACTTGTTAGCACAGGCACAAAAGCACCTTTCAATCTGAATAATCAGGCAGCAGTCGCGTTTCCTAGAGGACAGTCCACATCTGATGGAGCGAAAACAGCCGGGGACAGAGTTGCATCTCTCCGACTACTTGGAAAAGAAGAATAATCAAATGTTAATCGACCTTGGGCGAGTGATGCGCATAGAAAAATGTCTCCTTCAAGTCTTCATCTGGCGATAATATATCATCTTCGGGGTTTTGGGCGTTGTACACTGATTGCCACATCGGGCATATAATTAGGTTGCTCCCCAAATGCATCCCTGTGATAAATTGTTTTGAAAGATTGCTTGTAATACTAATGGTGTATAGAATGCTGCATCCTGTACAATTTCGTATGAAGAACGGAACAAGCATGTCGAGGAAAAGTCCATCTGGCCCGGTGCTCAACGGTGCCTGGTGGGCGAGTCCGTGAAACTTGGGTGTGTCTATTTCTTGTTTGCCACAGTCACATGCTTTTCTGTCGCAGAAAAAATCAAGCCATATGAATGTACAATTTGGTAGATGGATGATACGGACGAATGGCAGAACGATAACATTCAATCATTCCATAATCAGGTTGAGGCAGTGGGATTTGTGACTTTGAATTTTTTTGGTTGATAGTATGGGGAGATTTGTAAGTCTGTGCCGAGAAGCCGAGAAGCACTACCCTTGTTGGGAATCACCTGCAGTGTGTACCCGGGGGAGTGGGGCTTGAATTCACGAACTCCCGGCAACTAGCGGCCGACCAGCGGCTAACTTGCACCAATAATACGGCGTCATCTATACTCTAATTACGAAATGAACATCAAGAGGTCACTTGTTGCCTGACTGTTCCAGCAACAAAGTCTCCATGCTGACCAGTCGCTTGTGGCCGAACGACTGAGTTCTCGACTGTTGCCGGAGTGACTGCCAGTTTGAATCTCGTTGCAAGATGCAAACCGACAATATCTGGCAACAGGAATGAGATGCGTGCACTTGGCTCCTTGGCCTTTCAGCACAGGTTGACTTCAATTAGAGGACGAAAATCGAATCAACAATTGGCTTAACTGTCGTCAGTTTTGTGGCAACTATAAAGTACGAAAACGAAATATAACATTACGGTTAATTTGATCGCATTTTAATGTGTCTGTTTTGAAAGTGCATACTAGATCAGAGCGCATACTCAGTACTCAGAGTCTGTCTATCGTTTCATAATCGGACTTGAGCACAATGTAAGCTGAAGAGCTGGAACGGATTAGACGAAAATGAACGTTTTGCCTGTTGTGGTTCAAAACCTTCACGATAACCATTCGAGCAGGTTTCATTGCCATTTATTATTTTTCTGTTTATGGGCACCAAGTGATCCAGTGAAAAACCTTTTGTTCTGTGGCGCGCTAAATGGAAGGATCGACTTAATATTAAATTAATATTCCTAAAGAAGAGACAACAAAGGAGACTGCTCACATGGTTGCTGAAAACTATTCGACATCTCATGACCGGTTTCGCCGTTCTTGGGGCTCATTAGGTAAGTGCAGTCCCCGAGTTTCCGTCAACCTTATGTCCTATTTGAACCCTAATTGGACTGTTTGCGCCTACCTGATGAACCCGAACTGGAAGGGCGAAACCGAAGCTGGGCTGTCAAAGAGTTTTCAGTAACCTTGTAAGTAGTTTTCTTTATGAAAATATACCGTAATATCTCGAATATCGTGTCAACTGAAACATGAGGCGGCCTGTGTGCAGCACATTCCAATTATAGAATAGCATAAACGTGAAATTCAGTCGAGTCTCTCGTGAAAACCTAATCGATTTGCAAATGAGTGTATTTCTCGAAGAGATAATAAGATTATTGCTCTGGTGTGGAATCAACCTGTTTATTAAATGCTTGGGATATCTGAGCACATATCGTCACAGAAGGGAGGTGATTTACTGACCATTTGCAAGTAAGGTAGCGAGCATCCTCTCCTAACTGAGACGTCTTAATTTACCAACCAACACTGATCTGTTAGAATCCATTGGAAGACTCGTACGAAAACCTTTAAGTGAGGTTTCTCCCGATAGGAGAAAATAAGGTGGAAAGTTAAAAAAAATCCAGTGCTAACACACTACTCACAACATTTCAGCAAATCACAGAAACGAGAAAAATTCCAGTATTTCATACAAACTGGCTTCAAATGGGCTGTTGCTGTTTGCTGTTAAAATTTTTGGCTCCTCTCCCGTTAGCGGATAATATTTTTCTCCTTGTGTGCATGGATTATAGCACACTCAGCCTCCAAAATAATCCCGTTTTGGACGGCTATTTCATTTGGACAAAATATGCCTTATTTCAACTATTCCTTTTGTCCCATGCGTAAAAATACTCTGGCTGTCTTCTTCTGAAAATTTTTTTTCGTATATGTCGGACAAGACCTGTTCCTCGCATCCGGTTTCGTCCAGGGGGTTGTGACTTTTTTCAACGTAATCTCCCATCTGTTCACACAACCGAGGGTTATTCACACATGCTGAAGCAGCGAAAGAATCACATGTTTGTTCAATCCACCTTAGTTACCTACCGCAGTACCATACCCACGTGAAGTGTAGACCAGCTGGCTTGGTTTACTAATCAATTTCAGCAAACATGCTAAGAATGTTTAGGTAAACTCAGGTACCAATGAGGAACCAAGCCTGGTACAAAAATGCAGGTAAAAGACCAGATTTTGTCACTGTCACAACAGCGCGGCTGTTGTTCGAATGTCAAATATGCCCCGGTGGTTATAGTTCTTAGCAGTACACAAGATAATTAATGTGCATGATGTTCGAACTGTTTGACGTGTTTATCACTTCTATCTCTACTAAACAGTTTTGAATGGTTTATCGTCATCCAGAGTGACTGATCGCTTGCAGAACATATTGGGAGCCAAATGTAGCATAGTAAGGAGATTGTCATATGCGTTCGTATTGATTGATGTTTCGCCCAGTATGTCAGGTGATCATTCATTCAGCACTAATTTCTGATAGGTCAGTCGACCTACACTTCTTTGAATGGTCCTATACTTTGAACCTATCAGCGAGAAGGTGATACGCTAGAGTCTTGAGATGGTATCTTGCTGAACTGGGACCATTGTGCACATGTCTTGGCGTCTGGATATCCCGGAGTTTGATTGCCCCACCATTTTGAAGCAAAACGGGTATCGAATACCTAGGCAGGTTGTTCGCATCCAAACTGGTGTGAATATCTACGTGGAATTGACGGGGGGGGGGGACTTTGGGACCTAATCACTCGAGACAGTCTAGTGACTGGTATTTTCGCATAGCGTAGGTAGGCTGGTTAGAACAGACCTAACCGCAAAAACCTTGTTTTAACCAACCGGCCTGCAAATAGGTATCTGTGGCGAAAACGATAGTGAACTCGTCTTCAGCAAAGCTTTTGTTTTGCTGACATTCTTGAGGTGTGCAGCTCACGTGGGTAGCAATAGAGTTGATTATGGGACGGTGCATGCACATCTTGTAGACCCTATCTCACGACGGGGTCAAAGGTTAGGAACCAATATGTGTGATCTTACTACAATATCAGTAGGATAGACACCTATGTACCGAGAAACAGCGTTTCACTGTCCTAAACTGGATTTGCATTTAACTGTTGCATAAAAATCTGTTCCATACTAACATCCATCAAATTAAGTTGCGTAACTCTAGCAAACGTGACTGCACACACTCACTAATCTACCACCAGTTTTTGACTCTGACATCTGTAGAAGATGTTGAGATATTGAGGGACGCCAGGGTTGACCATGGGGGATATGTTTCCAGAAAACAAATAGTAGAACCAATCTGGCCTAAAAACTGTTGTGAGAAGCAGACCCATCAGGGGTCCCAACTCAGGAGCAATCGATTATAGTTCACCGATAGTAGTCAAATGTCACAATTGTACCACTCATTTGGAAAGTTAGTTTGTTGTTTCTTTGGCTCATTGCTACTCTCTTGCCTCCAAACAACGGAGCCCTCTGACGAACGGCTACTTTAAGTTTGTTATTCAAAGGGTGAGTGTATGTTGGTTGTTGAATATCAAAAGTATCATTACTTGGATCTCGGTCGTATAGCACAATACTACCTGGGAATACTGGGTGTATAAATGAGCCTGGAAGCGCACATCAAGATGTGAAACCAACAAACGGCATTCAACCCTTATGAAAACTTGCTCGTGTTGGAGCAAGAATGTCTACTTTTAAGAACCTGTGACATGACTTTCCCCCAACTAGTCTCAGGGAATTACGAATACTCAGTGGAACGCAAAGTGGATCATACTTCCAGTTTAATGTGTTCAATCCAGAGGTCACATGGTTATCTGTTGGTTATAGATGAACACCTGGGTTGTATTGAGATGCAAACTGAAAGTGAATTAATCAATAAGGACTTAGCTTGGAACAATCAAAAGTGCTCAGCTTTTGTAACTCCGATCCAATCGATCCACAACTGTGGTGATATTTCCATCCTGCTCATCGGAATCTTTCTTGCACCGCTGCTAAGCTTCCTCCTGCCCTCCGCCTTTGTCCATTCGGTCCCTCGGGCGTCTAACCTTAAAACTCTTCATCAGTTGCCACTTCAAGCAGGAAATAGTTGTCACTCTCAGTCAATAAGTCATCTGCCGAAGTGTGTCGTACGTTTTGACACACTCTGCGTACATAATCTTGTACCACTTGGCAATCAAATTTCGTAGCGTCTGACCCCAGAATTGATAGGCCAGTTTCATTTCGATACAGTCTTTCGAAGGTCCTTCACAAGGTTGTTGAAAGTTCGTCTACAGTCCACGACCGGTTTCGTCCTTCTTGGGGCTTATCAGATAGGCGCAGTCCCCGAGTTTCCGTCAACCTTATGATCTGCTTGGAACCAAATTGCACGAAATTAGAGAATATACACTCATTTACAAACTAATTTGATTTTTCGATAGGCTCACCTGGAATCCAGTCGAATCTCTTGGCTCTCCGGTTCTCGGTTTTTTTGTTTAACCTTTCCGTCGAAAGGGATATCTACGAACTACTATAGTGTGTGTAGTTCTTGCTGACACTGCAACAGTCAACGACGAAGCTACTACCACCAAGTTTATCCCTCAAGAAGATTTCGATTCCGACCTCAGGTCTCAAAAGCTAATCAATCACATAATTCCCGTCCCTCGATGCGTATTGTACCACGCATTCATACTTCCTTACCAGAAACAACATAGCTTGGGTTCTTTGCAATCATCTTCGATAGTCTTGATCCATTCAACGTTGCAGAGGATAGGAGTTCCACTATTCCAAGATAAAAACGATCAATAAACTTGGTTTCCCATTGGCTGGATAGTTTTTTTTTAGCCGAGAAGCACTACCCTTGTTGGGAATCACCTGCAGTGTGTACCCGGGGGAGTGGGGCTTGAATTCACGAACTCCCGGCAACTAGCGGCCGACCAGCGGCTAACTTGCACCAATAATACGGCGTCATCTATACTCTAATTACGAAATGAACATCAAGAGGTCACTTGTTGCCTGACTGTTCCAGCAACAAAGTCTCCATGCTGACCAGTCGCTTGTGGCCGAACGACTGAGTTCTCGACTGTTGCCGGAGTGACTGCCAGTTTGAATCTCGTTGCAAGATGCAAACCGACAATATCTGGCAACAGGAATGAGATGCGTGCACTTGGCTCCTTGGCCTTTCAGCACAGGTTGACTTCAATTAGAGGACGAAAATCGAATCAACAATTGGCTTAACTGTCGTCAGTTTTGTGGCAACTATAAAGTACGAAAACGAAATATAACATTACGGTTAATTTGATCGCATTTTAATGTGTCTGTTTTGAAAGTGCATACTAGATCAGAGCGCATACTCAGTACTCAGAGTCTGTCTATCGTTTCATAATCGGACTTGAGCACAATGTAAGCTGAAGAGCTGGAACGGATTAGACGAAAATGAACGTTTTGCCTGTTGTGGTTCAAAACCTTCACGATAACCATTCGAGCAGGTTTCATTGCCATTTATTATTTTTCTGTTTATGGGCACCAAGTGATCCAGTGAAAAACCTTTTGTTCTGTGGCGCGCTAAATGGAAGGATCGACTTAATATTAAATTAATATTCCTAAAGAAGAGACAACAAAGGAGACTGCTCACATGGTTGCTGAAAACTATTCGACATCTCATGACCGGTTTCGCCGTTCTTGGGGCTCATTAGGTAAGTGCAGTCCCCGAGTTTCCGTCAACCTTATGTCCTATTTGAACCCTAATTGGACTGTTTGCGCCTACCTGATGAACCCGAACTGGAAGGGCGAAACCGAAGCTGGGCTGTCAAAGAGTTTTCAGTAACCTTGTAAGTAGTTTTCTTTATGAAAATATACAGTAATATCTCAAATATCGTGTCAACTGAAACATGAGGCGGCCTGTGTGCAGCACATTCCAATTATAGAATAGCATAAACGTGAAATTCAGTCGAGTCTCTCGTGAAAACCTAATCGATTTGCAAATGAGTGTATTTCTCGAAGAGATAATAAGATTATTGCTCTGGTGTGGAATCAACCTGTTTATTAAATGCTTGGGATATCTGAGCACATATCGTCACAGAAGGGAGGTGATTTACTGACCATTTGCAAGTAAGGTAGCGAGCATCCTCTCCTAACTGAGACGTCTTAATTTACCAACCAACACTGATCTGTTAGAATCCATTGGAAGACTCGTACGAAAACCTTTAAGTGAGGTTTCTCCCGATAGGAGAAAATAAGGTGGAAAGTTAAAAAAAATCCAGTGCTAACACACTACTCACAACATTTCAGCAAATCATAGAAACGAGAAAAATTCCAGTATTTCATACAAACTGGCTTCAAATGGGCTGTTGCTGTTTGCTGTTAAAATTTTTGGCTCCTCTCCCGTTAGCGGATAATATTTTTCTCCTTGTGTGCATGGATTATAGCACACTCAGCCTCCAAAATAATCCCGTTTTGGACGGCTATTTCATTTGGACAAAATATGCCTTATTTCAACTATTCCTTTTGTCCCATGCGTAAAAATACTCTGGCTGTCTTCTTCTGAAAATTTTTTTTCGTATATGTCGGACAAGACCTGTTCCTCGCATCCGGTTTCGTCCAGGGGGTTGTGACTTTTTTCAACGTAATCTCCCATCTGTTCACACAACCGAGGGTTATTCACACATGCTGAAGCAGCGAAAGAATCACATGTTTGTTCAATCCACCTTAGTTACCTACCGCAGTACCATACCCACGTGAAGTGTAGACCAGCTGGCTTGGTTTACTAATCAATTTCAGCAAACATGCTAAGAATGTTTAGGTAAACTCAGGTACCAATGAGGAACCAAGCCTGGTACAAAAATGCAGGTAAAAGACCAGATTTTGTCACTGTCACAACAGCGCGGCTGTTGTTCGAATGTCAAATATGCCCCGGTGGTTATAGTTCTTAGCAGTACACAAGATAATTAATGTGCATGATGTTCGAACTGTTTGACGTGTTTATCACTTCTATCTCTACTAAACAGTTTTGAATGGTTTATCGTCATCCAGAGTGACTGATCGCTTGCAGAACATATTGGGAGCCAAATGTAGCATAGTAAGGAGATTGTCATATGCGTTCGTATTGATTGATGTTTCGCCCAGTATGTCAGGTGATCATTCATTCAGCACTAATTTCTGATAGGTCAGTCGACCTACACTTCTTTGAATGGTCCTATACTTTGAACCTATCAGCGAGAAGGTGATACGCTAGAGTCTTGAGATGGTATCTTGCTGAACTGGGACCATTGTGCACATGTCTTGGCGTCTGGATATCCCGGAGTTTGATTGCCCCACCATTTTGAAGCAAAACGGGTATCGAATACCTAGGCAGGTTGTTCGCATCCAAACTGGTGTGAATATCTACGTGGAATTGACGGGGGGGGGGGGCTTTGGGACCTAATCACTCGAGACAGTCTAGTGACTGGTATTTTCGCATAGCGTAGGTAGGCTGGTTAGAACAGACCTAACCGCAAAAACCTTGTTTTAACCAACCGGCCTGCAAATAGGTATCTGTGGCGAAAACGATAGTGAACTCGTCTTCAGCAAAGCTTTTGTTTTGCTGACATTCTTGAGGTGTGCAGCTCACGTGGGTAGCAATAGAGTTGATTATGGGACGGTGCATGCACATCTTGTAGACCCTATCTCACGACGGGGTCAAAGGTTAGGAACCAATATGTGTGATCTTACTACAATATCAGTAGGATAGACACCTATGTACCGAGAAACAGCGTTTCACTGTCCTAAACTGGATTTGCATTTAACTGTTGCATAAAAATCTGTTCCATACTAACATCCATCAAATTAAGTTGCGTAACTCTAGCAAACGTGACTGCACACACTCACTAATCTACCACCAGTTTTTGACTCTGACATCTGTAGAAGATGTTGAGATATTGAGGGACGCCAGGGTTGACCATGGGGGATATGTTTCCAGAAAACAAATAGTAGAACCAATCTGGCCTAAAAACTGTTGTGAGAAGCAGACCCATCAGGGGTCCCAACTCAGGAGCAATCGATTATAGTTCACCGATAGTAGTCAAATGTCACAATTGTACCACTCATTTGGAAAGTTAGTTTGTTGTTTCTTTGGCTCATTGCTACTCTCTTGCCTCCAAACAACGGAGCCCTCTGACGAACGGCTACTTTAAGTTTGTTATTCAAAGGGTGAGTGTATGTTGGTTGTTGAATATCAAAAGTATCATTACTTGGATCTCGGTCGTATAGCACAATACTACCTGGGAATACTGGGTGTATAAATGAGCCTGGAAGCGCACATCAAGATGTGAAACCAACAAACGGCATTCAACCCTTATGAAAACTTGCTCGTGTTGGAGCAAGAATGTCTACTTTTAAGAACCTGTGACATAACTTTCCCCCAACTAGTCTCAGGGAATTACGAATACTCAGTGGAACGCAAAGTGGATCATACTTCCAGTTTAATGTGTTCAATCCAGAGGTCACATGGTTATCTGTTGGTTATAGATGAACACCTGGGTTGTATTGAGATGCAAACTGAAAGTGAATTAATCAATAAGGACTTAGCTTGGAACAATCAAAAGTGCTCAGCTTTTGTAACTCCGATCCAATCGATCCACAACTGTGGTGATATTTCCATCCTGCTCATCGGAATCTTTCTTGCACCGCTGCTAAGCTTCCTCCTGCCCTCCGCCTTTGTCCATTCGGTCCCTCGGGCGTCTAACCTTAAAACTCTTCATCAGTTGCCACTTCAAGCAGGAAATAGTTGTCACTCTCAGTCAATAAGTCATCTGCCGAAGTGTGTCGTACGTTTTGACACACTCTGCGTACATAATCTTGTACCACTTGGCAATCAAATTTCGTAGCGTCTGACCCCAGAATTGATAGGCCAGTTTCATTTCGATACAGTCTTTCGAAGGTCCTTCACAAGGTTGTTGAAAGTTCGTCTACAGTCCACGACCGGTTTCGTCCTTCTTGGGGCTTATCAGATAGGCGCAGTCCCCGAGTTTCCGTCAACCTTATGATCTGCTTGGAACCAAATTGCACGAAATTAGAGAATATACACTCATTTACAAACTAATTTGATTTTTCGATAGGCTCACCTGGAATCCAGTCGAATCTCTTGGCTCTCCGGTTCTCGGTTTTTTTGTTTAACCTTTCCGTCGAAAGGGATATCTACGAACTACTATAGTGTGTGTAGTTCTTGCTGACACTGCAACAGTCAACGACGAAGCTACTACCACCAAGTTTATCCCTCAAGAAGATTTCGATTCCGACCTCAGGTCTCAAAAGCTAATCAATCACATAATTCCCGTCCCTCGATGCGTATTGTACCACGCATTCATACTTCCTTACCAGAAACAACATAGCTTGGGTTCTTTGCAATCATCTTCGATAGTCTTGATCCATTCAACGTTGCAGAGGATAGGAGTTCCACTATTCCAAGATAAAAACGATCAATAAACTTGGTTTCCCATTGGCTGGATAGTTTTTTTTTCAGTATTCGTCATGATGACTTCTTTCGTTTCGGACCTGTACCGATTCTCCGGTCACTGGCGCCAACTGTGACAGCAAACGCCCCTCCGACCCCAAACAGTTCGAGAGTGTTTTTTCCAGTATCTGCAGTCGAACACTTTTGAAGGTCACTGCTGCTTCGTTTGTAAACTCAAACTGTCTATTTTGACAGAGTAATTCAAAAAGTGGTAGGCCATCCGGTCCAGAACTTTGCACTGATGAGGCTTTCCCGAAACGTGTACAAGCTAACTGGCAGGATTGGGAACTGATCAGTGGTGCCTTCAGTAGAACAAACAGCCGGGACTGGAAAGCAAATAGTACCTATGGCAATAAAGTCGACGTTCTTCTTAGTTGATATTGAGTGTCTGCGAAATCAAATGTCTATTCCTTGAGAATTTGTAAATTGGCGGTCAGTTAGCACTGACTCGAGCACTAGTGCAACGGAGTGAAGCTCCAGGAATGCTGAAGCTAAGTCCCTACGATTGATGGGCTAGCTTCAATCTGATTCCGGCTCTAGAACTCCATTCATAATTGGTACCATCCATCTGGTTTCTTAACTAGGACCATCGAAGAGTAGTATAGACTGCTTATTCCACGAGTATATCACACCCAATCGTAGTTCTTGCTGGCTGTATAACTGACTCGGGGGATGGAAAAGCATTTGATCTGAGCCATAAGATAAATAGCTCTCGGAATTTAGAAGAGCTTCGTTCTCAGTCGCTGAGCAGAAGCCGAAGAAATCTCCCTTACTGGTCGCCCCTTGACCGCAGCCTATCCCAACGGGACACTCCAAGACAGGAGCTTTTGTTCATGACACCGCCGGATTATTCTTTCAGTTAGATTGTGCCGTGGGGTCGAGATGGTTCAAGTGGTTAGAGCGTGAATTTACTGACCGGGAGGTCCGTGGTACGAACCCGAGCTCTGCCTCTCGACATCCCCTGTCTAGGCTTGGCCAACCTGGAGGTATCCCAGCCCTCGTGCTTCCTTCGGGTTGCATGGCAGCTAGGCCCCTGAGGGGTGTGCCATAATTTGTCATCAGCCCACCTCTCTTCAGACGTACAAACGATTCTTCTCCCTTAGAGGATCCACCACCAGACTGTTACTTTTACCTCCGGCCTAGTAACGAACTCCTCTTATTGCGTCATCAAGCAATGCACTCACTGAGTCAATTTTCAACCGGTAGTTATCTATCACCATCGCTGCTGGTGCGCATGAATTGCTGCGAGTTTCCTGTCTTTCACCACAGTGGTATCTTTTCCTACTTATGGGTTGAGCACAACTCATTCTTTCTGTCTATCTGAATTGTTGCCTATCTTCTAACCTGTGTCAGTGAATTAAGTGAGTCTCACATAGGAGAGGAAGAGTACACAAACTCTTTGTTGTCGGAAGATGGTCGATCTTGATGAACCGGCTCGGCAGCAGCCCCGGTACTCCGTCGACCTCCGGCAGAGCGTATTGCAGTCACCCCTGCAGACTCACCGAAGGGACTGTCAATCCGCCACTTCATGGCTTTCTTACAGTCTGCCGGTGATTTAACTCCCGTGAGAAGAGCTTTTCTTGGTGCCTATTCTAATTTCATGTCTGTAGGCGCAAACGCAATCAGTTTAACGACCTGTTTAAAACTAACGCGGAGTATTTTATTAGAAAATGCCAACTGACCGGTTACAGACTTTTGGACAGGGAAGCAAAACTCTCATTTACATCTTATTCACAAAACTGGACATACATCTTCTCCTGAACGCGTCTTCTTGAACTGTGCTGGATATTCATTGACTCCAATCATTCATTGCTCAAATCCAAGCAAACGCTACAAAGTGACTCCACAAATTCCACAAGAGATCTTCGTTTTCAAGAGACGCAAAACGAGTTTACAAGAACAAAACATGCTACTCGCATGCCTCCCCATCAGTAGTAGTAGCACCGCCACACACCTTCACCCTTTAAAAGTCGTTCGCCTGCCATCAATTTCCATTTATCTCTGTCAGGTCGGCTTTGGCAGCGGGTCTACTTGGCCACTTGCGAAGCTGCGTCCCATTTATTCTTTTCGATTCCCGACCATCTTAGATTGTATAGACGTTCGAGCCTATTTCCCTTCAGTGTTGTAATCTTTCGTAGAGGTATCTTTCGTTTAAAGGAAAGGAATACGGTTGTGTTGCCACGACAGCTAAGTTCATGAGCCCGGTTATCTTGATATCATTTACAATGATTGGTACAGATTTTCTAACAAGCATGGTACATTCCAAGCTTGTTCATCCAAAAGCACACTTCTAGATAATGTCCAGATTTTCCGTCTAGATTCAGTTTCGTCCTGGTTACCATATTTGGTCTGAGAAAGCTTTGGAAAGTTGCTAGTTCGATGTGGTCAACGTGCTTGACCTGCAAAGATTTTGTCAACCTCAAACGGCGAAAGTCACCGCCTGGGTATGATGTCCTTGAGGGTGAGGTCAAAACGTTTTTGCAAGTTAGTTGCAAAGCTCCACGAACAAATCACCAGTCACGTGACAATTACTAAAGAAATCAGCCTACAGAAATATCCTCACAAAGAACGCGGCATAAAACCTTCCGGTCTTGACCCGAGAAACATGTGGTGTGTGTTGGCAGAGAATGCAAAATTCGCCATCTAAGAAATACTAATTGAGCATGATATAATGTCCACAATAATCCAACAGAAGATTCGTTCAGGAATTTTCCCCTAACCGTTCCACTCAGTCGCCCCGGGGCGCATTTATCCGTGATGGTTGGTCTTACGTCGTATCGTCACACCAGAACTCCAGTCTTTACGACGGAAGCGCGTTTCATCGATTCGGCCTACAGCAACGTAGTTAAACACATTCGAGCGTGGTTTATCATTCTCCGTAACAAGCCGTGAACGTGTTGAAATAAACACCAATGATCAGTGAGTCAAGCAGTTCTTGAGTTTCTGCAGATGTCATTGGTGGAATTGTTTCTATGAAAAACTGGATATTGAATCTTTGTAGAAAAGAGAACTTTCTCATTTCATAAAGGAAACTACTCACAAGGTTGCTGAAAACTCTTCGACAGCCCACAACCGGTTTCGCCCTTCCAGTTCGGGCTCAACAGGTAGGCGCAGTCCCCGAGTTTCCGTCAACCTTGTGTTCTACTTGAATCCAAATTGGACTGTTTGCGAGAAATACACTCATTTGCAAATCAATTTGGTTTCCACGAGAGACTCAACTGAATCTCTCTTTTATGATATTCTACAACTGAATTTGCTGCACATAGACCGCCTGATGATTTAGTTAGCACGATATTCGAAATATCGCAGTGTATTTTCATAAAGGAAACCACTCACAAGGTCGGCTCAATTGGAACACAAGGCCGACGGAAACTCGGGGACTGCACTTACCTACTGAGCCCCAAGAAGGGCGAAACCGGTCGTGGGCTGTCGAGGAGTTTCCAGCAACTTTGTGAGTAGTTTTTTTTTAAATGAAAATATACTGCGATATCGTGCCAACTGAATCATCAGGCGGCATGTGTGCAGCACATTCAGTTGTAGGATATCCCAAACGAGAGATTCAATTGAGTCTCCCGTGAAAACCAAATTGATTTGCAAATGATTGTATTTCTCGAGAACTTTCTTTTGTAAAAAAGCGGTTAAGGTCATATAATAGGGAGAGAAAAGTGCTACACGTATTCTCGGAATGAAAACTTAGTTGTGTTGAAGACGATAGTAATGGCGACAGTATTAGAGATCTTCCCCTCAGAAGATCTTTCCCAAACAACGGTTTCAAGTCTATTCGTCCCGGTCCCGTGGACTTTACTCTTTAGTTGTCCAGAAGAATGCTAATCACTTCAAAAGGGTCTGGAAACATCATATGGTATGGCCCTAGTAACATCCAAGTTGGGGACTAGCCAGCGCTGAAATTAATTCCTGCTTAGCCACTACTGGGTACTTTTGGCTCCCTATCACGGAACTGTCTATCAAACCCAATGACCGATAGTTCCGCGTAAACAGGTGGTTCCAGAGCCTGTCTATAATACACCAAATAAGAGGCTAAATCTCACATGTGTCTATATTTATTCTTCCAGCAAAATCTACGTAAGTTCAGAGGTCCTTCATGTCCCACATCGTTTAAATGAATTCCTTAGGATCCTAAATTATCACGGTATGAGGAGTCAGGTTTGCCCGTTCCAAAATGTTGAAATAATGACCAACTTGTCTCCAGACTTCCGAAAATCTTGATGGTTTATTCCATTTGAATACGCTCTCTCTCGTGAACGATTGCCAGAGCAAGGGTTAGCGGATAGTTAAAAATCAATGACGAAGCCTGCAGGCAACCTGAAGTCAAATCTAATGTGTCCCAGTTTCACCACATTAAATCACACCGACAGAAGCGAGGCGGATTGCGTTTCCGTAAAACGCCTCTCCTCGCCTCAGGGTAGCAGATGAAATCGCGCTGTACGAAAAGATTTGCTCGATAATGGTGTGGTGAGTCTCACTTTCTAAAGGGGCAGTTTCTGTCTCTAAGTCGACTACAAATGAACCATCAAGAATGAAGAACAGAAAGAGGTCAATGACTTAGGCTACCCTGCATTGTGATTAGGTGGTATACATGGACACGAATTGAAATTTAATCTTTCTGTTGATGGTGGAGGGTGACAGCCAACCAGAATAACAGTGAACACGTTTCCGGTAAACTATTTTCAAGTCAATCGAGGTGACAAAACCGAGAATGACCAGACAAACAGCAGAGATTATGTGAACACATTTGATGTTCTGGGCCATAGCGGAATTCCTGTTTTGTAACCGGTGTGCAAGAATCAATTTTCGAATGGGATCAGACGGGGGGAGAAAATGATATAAAATAGAAAAAGGCATGACTCGTTTTCATGTTTTGAGTATTCGACTTACGTTTTGTATCTGAATGTCCCGGATCTCACAGGAGGAATCTATTATTTCAGTGTTACAAAGGCCTGCTGTCAACTTTGCGCTGCATTTAGCAAAATGGTCGTAGGCCATCGCCGCAAGCAATTTTAATTTTATGGGAAATTTTTGCCCTCCTAACCAATGCCACACCCAGATCCTCTGGCCTAATGTAATAAAATCGCCACTTGAGCAAGAGACTACTGCATTTGGACATGTTGGTCACGTGGGCGAAAACTTGAAATCTCCCGCAACATCGAAACCACAGTTACCATAACAACAAGTCTGATATCTTCAAAACACGATGCAACAGAAAACGCACAAGGACATACTGAATTGCAAAAGTACTGATTCAACATTTACTCAGCTGTAAAACTGTGAATCAGGTTGGTTGCTGCGATGGTAAAATCGGGATGAATAGTTTTTGCCATCCTTCCAATCAATGCAGAGGTCCATCATAAGGCTTGATGTGGGTACGTCAGTTCTGCTCAAAATTTTGTAGCGGTTTGTGTTCAGAAGCGAGCGATCCTCACTGGGGACGATACATGTATGCTACGAACAAAATACCTATCCCGATAAAACCCCAAAACCGCAACGAAAAGTTGCCCAGCGGGTTTTAAGCGTGTGTTACTGGGAGGTCCTGACTAGCGGGTCAATCGATCGTCACAACCAGGACAGTTACTGGGTCGTCGTTCGATGAGTCGGGCACACTAGTCACATCGCTCAGGTGTGAACACGTTCGCCTGTTCAGATGTGTTAATTCAGATGCGTCCAACGTGCGTTGGTGTAGTAGTGGTTACACGCTCGCCTCGCACGCCAGATGTCCGGGGTTCAAATCCCGGCACGGCCATTGGATATGCACTGCTGATGAGCTCTAATAAGAGCGAAGCTCGAGTCCGATGCTTCCCTTTGGTGTGGACTTACCGGAAAGACTGCACCAGAACAGGAGGACGGCCGTTCAAACGAGAGTGGTGTGGCTACGAACAAAAAATATATAACTTTATCTAAACAGTAGAAAAGGTCAACCACTGAAGTAGCTGCTTCCCCAGCTCGTCAAACTTGCATCACCGTTGCCAGTGAAAGGAGGAAAACCCTTCGCTACGAAATCATTTATTGGCAAAAACGAGCTAAGCAGTTACAATTCATTAGACAAGAGAGTAGGCAACCCACTTGCACACAGTATTTAAAAACCGAATATTCCAAAGCATCCTCCAGGGTATTTACCGACTATTAAACAACACTGAAAAGTGGTTCCTCTTTTTTCCGCAATAAATCTCACTCCCATCAGGTGTGGAATAGAGCTTGGCCACTAACCACAGACTACTTGTATGTTTCATCAGTAGTATTCATCACTACACCAAGGAATACTTTTTATCTGCTAATTCCGGACAGTTTTGACAGAGTATTCCCACTACATGTTATTGCTTGCGAAGTTTTCTCTCAGTCTGAACCCAAACGAGTTCGGCAAGATCGTGTTTTTACCTTAATGTGGTCAAAATAGAAATAATTTATGCTCTGTGCTCTCTTCACCAATCACTAGTGTTAGTCTCTGAGGGCAACTGAAGTGTGCTAAATATGTCTGTGTTAGGCTATCCTCAACCACATAGGAGATAGGTGACTGGGTTTCTCGTCATACGTTAGGAAAAAAAGAAAGAAAAATGAAAAATCATAACCTTTCATTCTGTTCATCACCTTATCCATGATAGTTTTCTGTACATCCGCGTTTTTTTCGGGTTGTTGCACGTCGAATTCAATGGCTCAGGTGCTGTTTTGATATACTCTCCTTTTCCGGTGACGTAGCCCCTCACTCTTTCATGAAAGACTAGGAGGTCGACACACCAAAATGCGTGCATATATGCTTCGCGGGATCTTTCATGGTGATTCTTATTCCCATACTTCAAACTAATAAGCTGTCTACTTAAGTCTATTTTAGAATCGACAGGCGTACATCAATTCCTGTAAAAATGTCGCGCTCAGGCATTTCCCATCACCCTTATGTTCAATGTGAGGTCTTCAAGTTGCTAAGAAACAGTATGACTTGACCTTGCCAGTCGTCTGTGAGCGTGCGACCGAGTCTTTTCTACACCTGTCTGCAAATATTTGCATTCTTCTTAAAATCTTTTCAAACGATTGTCTGAATACTCATCACCTCTTGTTTACTTCTTCTCTACCACTACATCCCAAGCCAGATTCAGTCTACAAACCTAGTAACTGATCATTTCCCCCCAAAATATTTTATCGTTTACACAAATTACAAGGTTAATTTCGGGTGAACAGGGCTGTCTGTCCCACATCACTCAATTTAACGAAAGTAAAACTTGTGATTTTTTTTAGATGAGATCGGAATTCCGACTTATTGTTTGCCAAATCTTTCTTGACGGAAACGCGAAATAAGATTTCCCAGGTGGCTTTCACGTAGCTGAGCCTAGGCTAAACAAACTTACATGGGGCATGCTCGTCCGTTGACGGCTAGCACCCCATCAACCACCCATGGGGCTGTCGCCTTCTTGTATCCCTAACGTATGCGAACGCTGATTGGAGCAAAATGTGCGTTAGACAGACAGACACGCCTGGACAAGTGGACTGGTGAGTGCGTCCTGACACGTGGACATTGGCGCGTCAAGCTCATCCACTGACAATCGCCAGCTGTCTACTTGAGCATCCCCAATTACACACAGAATTGCCAAGTGTGGCCACGGTTGGCGAAAATAGTTATCACACCTTTGTGTGTAGCCCTGGTGACAGGCCACATCATTAGTTTTACTTTCACCAATTTCAGTTCCACTATGGGAATAGATTAACCAGGGGATTCATGAACCACACACGCAAACAAAAAACAACACACCCGAATTATTCTCTCGACTGTGGAAGGTAATATTTTGGAACTAAGAGTGTTTGGATAAAAAAATAGCGAATTGAATGTAACCGGCGTTCTTCTCAGTTGCAACCTAACTTATTCAAACTGAATTCGGTCAGAATTCCCGCGGCTCAATGCTGCTGTTCTGGCAGGTTGGGAGATGACAAGAGGTGAGTTTGCCATTTTCAACCGCACATCTGATATGTATGCCACAAATGACGTTTTATGGATTCGAAACCTGGATGTTTAGTCGCGAGATAAACATATGGTCAGGAAAACGAGTAGGCAGGTTCGTCTGATGGCACTTGGTTCAAAACAACTGTGTACGGTGTCTGCCTAACTGATTTTTCGTGTAATATAGTTGTTTCTCAATCATAAAACGATCCTACTAAAGCCTATCCGTGCAGTTGACTATTTTGATTGATAACTTTGTGACCTGTCGACGTCTGTCGACGGATTTTCAGCGACCTTATGAGTAGTACATTACAAAGATGAAGTCTGTGACCTGTTTAGATGGCTAAAGCTGTAGTGGTAGCCGCTGAGAAAATTTCGAAGGTAAAAACAAAGAAGCGCGGACGTTTGTGGACGCAGCTTCGTGTCGTTAAGACTGGACTTTCGTTCCCAAGGGACTCCACCTGCTTTTTGTCTCTCTCTCTCTCTCTCTCTCTCTCTCTCTCTCTCTCTCTCTCTCTCTCTCTCTCTCTCTCTCTCTCTCTCTCTCTCTCTCTCTCTCTCTCTCTCTCTCTCTCTCTCTCTCTCTCTCTCTCTCTCTCTCTCTCTCTCTCTCTCTCTCTCTCTCTCTCTCTCTCTCTCTCTCTCTCTCTCTCTCTCTCTCTCTCTCTCTCTCTCTCTCTCGAGAGAGAGAGAGAGAGAGAGAGAGAGAGAGAGAGAGAGAATTTGGTCTGCAACAGCAAACATGGTCTACAGGTAGCCCCACACTTAACCATGTCTCACCGACTGGGACGCTTGTCATATGATTGAATTCGGACCATGCTTCACCGATTCAGCATTTCGCACGATATCGATGAGCTCAGGTGAGAAAAGAACTAGAAAGGTTTCTTTTGTTCTTCGGTAGGTGGAAACAAGGCGTGCCTGCGGATCAGGTCAATACTAGTAGCCTCTCCCAATATTGCTTATCTTATGACAGTATCCATGACCAGTCATTGTCCGAGCTGGTTAGAACATTCTTCAGATTCATTCGCCATGGGCAGCTGAGGTCGTCGATTCACGAGAAAATTCAAAAGCACCAATGACCTTGAGCTGGTCAGTAGAAATGCAGCGAGGTTAAACGGGTTGACCAACACATGTGACTGTTAATAATTCATCAGCTGGTTTAATTGTAGTCTGTTACTGTTGAGGTCAGCCGAGGACGAACCGCGGCCGGATTTCAGCGACAAAGAGTGCGGAAAAACCTTCGTATTCAGTGCGAGTGTCCTGAACTCTTTCGAAAATAAGAAGATAACGATTTGAGGTTAAAAATGCACCTCTCTGACCATTTGTCAATTGAAGTCCCTAAAATTTGGATTAGTTTTGGGGGCGTTCAGACAGCACGCAAATCAGCACAAACGGCAAATTTCATGGTCTATTTTCTTACAAAACGGACACATTAGGACGTGGAATAATTCGACAAGCATAGATATGACTCGAGGGGCTAAACTTCATCAAGTTTCCGAAGTATACTGGTTTTTCTACTCTGACAGGCAAATTGAAATCGATTCTCGTTAAACCAGTCTAACATGAACTGTCGGAATCTGAATACCGCCACATTTGTTCCACCAAAAGCTATCTTCACCACGTTTGTATATTGAACCTTTTCGTGGGCTGATTTGGGGGGAACGCGAGAAGGCTCAGTGGTTAGGGCACGAATTTACTGACCGGAAGGTCCGCGGTTCAAACCCGACCTCTGTCTAGGCTTGGGCAACCTAGCAGTATCCCAGCCCTCTTGCTTCCTTCGGGTGGCATGTCAGTTAGGCCCTGAAAGGGTGCTACAGGTAAATGATGTTTTTTGAATTCGCTAGTGGAAAGCCACGACATGTAAAAACAGCTACTCACTGATCAAAAGGGTTTGGAATGTGTTTCGTGATTGCTTAAATAATAGTTTGTCTCAGACAAGCAATTATGTGGAAATATGAAGTAACGATCGCGCAGGTTGTTTTATCTCAACTCCTCGGATACTGTACAGCAAAAAGCCGAATATTTGCGGTGACCAACGATAAGGAACCGGTGTGAAAACCTAAAGGATGAGTAAAACTAATATCGTACAAAAACTGGCGTTCCTTCATGATTTATTAAACTCAAAATTCAAGAATAACCATGATTTACAGCATTTTTGTCTATATGAGTAGTATATCGCTTCATCCTAATTTCAAGGTTCCTGTGATGATGGGACAAGTATCCTGCTAGTTATAAGCACAACTTGTATCTACTCCACTTTTGAAATGAGATTACTTTTTCATTAAAGAAAGAGGGAGGCTTGAATCGCTGGTCTGTTCAGTAATCATTATCTTGTACGACACTCCACTCAAATTAACTTGAAAAGGAACGGTGAAAACAAAATGCGTTACCACGGTGGATGCGACAGAGATTGAAATGGTCATTAACACAAATTCGGACACAATGTAAAAAAAGAAGAGAAAACTAAAGATTTGATTCGATAAGTAGGTAAAAGTGGAGTGAAATACAGGCATTTGCACACCAGTTTGGTTTCACCAGAGTGGCGTTACATCTATACAATATAGTGCCGTACTGGCCAGTCTTACCAACTGAGACATGAGGAGGTCTGTGCAGCACATCAGGGGATTCAGGTGAGTCTCTCAAGGAAACCAGATTGTCATGCAAAAGAGTGTATTTGAATAATTTCGGGACTGCGCCTACTTGATTAGCTGCAAGAAGGGAGAAACCGGTCGTGTACTGTCGGAGAGTTTTCAGCAACCTGATGAGTAGTATGTTTGTGTGCGAATGAAGGCTTTTGCCATGCTCCACTGACCAAAACCAACGGATCATGATTCGGAAGGATTGCGAGTTTTTTTCACACTACCCAGCGTGTTATTCACGCATGGAGTGGTGATGTCTGAACGTGAAGAACGTGTATGTTTTAACTGTTGTGATTCAATTCATCACGGTTGGCCAGTCCCGTGTTTCTGTGCTGGCCGTCCAAAAACGGTATTCATGCGAGACAGATGAGTCATCATCTCTGGCATGTGCATCAACCCATCCCTCTCTCCAAGACGGTCGATGCATTGTACAGAACCACAGTTCTTGAGACAAGTCAAAAGGCACTTGATCCGAATAGCTGATACGGGCATAGGTTCAGAAGGTTGCGCCATTCGTAATGCACTACTCACAAAGTTGCTGAAAACTCGTCGACAGCCCTCCACGGTTGCACCATCCTCACCTTCATCTAGCTTGACACAATCGAGCCTAGAATTGTACAAATCAATCTTCTAACTCAACGATGACGACCGGTGCAAGTACTTTGATAGTGGGCGGGGCCGATGTTACCGCTCAATTACTTCATTTTACCGATACTACTTATAAGGCTGGTGGCAATTCTCGGAAAGTCCAATAAAAATATGGTCTTTTCAAGGCTCATTAAATAGAGCCAGTTTTAGCAGTAAATTAAACATACTCATTTGACAGTTAGTTACAGTTCAAGTGTTTTTTTCCTTGACGTAACTCACTACTTATAACTTTGCGGAATGCTCTTCGACAGCCCTCTTCTTGTGGTTCATCGGGCTTTCATCAAACTTATGTTCTAGTCTGACGTTAATGACTGATGCAACTGGATTTCTTCCTGAAGAGAAGTTACCATTCAAAATGGAGATCCGACTGACGTTCTGTTGCGTTTAATGTCAGCCAGAAGTAATTTTTTATTTCAATGTTCATCTACACTCACGTCCAACTTGATGTCAAAGTATGAAACAGAATTGATGATACTCAAATAGACTAGTAGTGAATATTATGAATGTGAATATGAATATTATGAACAAGGCGTCATTCTAAGATCGATCTGAGTTTCCCGTTGAAAAAGAAACATTTCCGTTTGCAATTCACTGTTAGACAGATACAGCTTAAACACCCACTATCCAGAATAGTTTCAGCCACTTATCTCCTAATTATCTTACGTGGGTGGATGTCCGTTCTTATACTGCGCAAAAAATATCTCTGAGTTGGAAATAAATGGAACGCTGAAACCATAATCAGATATCCTTTCGTTTTTTTCGTAGCGAGGGTAGCTTTGGCAATAGGAGATAACGAAGAAGCCCTATTAGGCAATTAGATGGGGAACTTGTAGCCATGCAAACTCAATTAATCAATCAGACTAATAAAGATTCTTGTTTCAGACGTTGAGTGATTTCTTTCGTCCCATGCTCAGAATCAATAGAAAAAAAACATTTTTCGAATTTTTTTTGTCTTGGTTTGACTTCACAGTGAGATAGTTCCGTTTGTCTGAAAAATGTTTACAATAGACAATGAGAGACTACTGAACTGCATTTGGGAAAACGAAATTAATCAGCGTCCACGTTTTTTAGAGGGATCGCACTGGGTTGCAGGCTTGAGTAGAATATCGTTGGCTAGTTGCATTTAACTATTCCCCTGGTAATCAATTCTGAAATTACGTTGATAATCTTCGGTTATTGCACTATTTCGTGAAAGAGGAAATGTTTCGATCCCAACCTGTACGTTAGAACATTGCGAAAAGTGTTCACAATTTAAGGGACAGAACTGCTCAGAAAGTAAGACAGGCACCGTTTAAGGCAGTGGCTATGTTTCTCTGTGACAGAGCCACAATTTATTACGAAAGAAGCTAACCGTGAACATACAAACACCGATGTAAAGAAAAGGGACCTACTGATGGTCTTTCATGGCTGCAATTTACATCTCAAACTGGAGTTGGACCCACGACTTCGAAGTCATTGTGACCTTGTATTCTAATGGTTCGTTGGATAGCAATTCCCAAGTAGGGTTGATGGCTCCTCTGGTTATTCCATTCGCACTCCTCGTTACGTTGCATTCGATCTACAGACTACCAGCCGCCTGATTAGCAGTCAATCTTCCCTTTACGAAATGTTCCCAAAGCACCTCAAAGATCAATACGTTCTCGTTATAACTTTTGGTCACGTACCACTGGGCACAGGAAACTTTCCAGCACACTTCACCGAAGGTAACTCTGTTCAACAAATGTGTTCTTAATTTTACTTGGTTTGTATAGAATTTCTAGAGTCCCATACTGCGTGCATTGAGAATCAGTTCGAATGGCAAAAATGCGTATATCTGAGGGTATTAGATGACAAGGAAAAAAATCGTTCATCCATGACACCCATTCGGTGTCTAACTGCCAAACGACCAGAGGGAGGCACGAGGGCTGTCATACTGCCAGGTTGTCCAAGCCTACAAATGGGAAGCCGAGAGCCGTTCGAACCACGGACTATCCGATCAGCAAACTAAGCAGTGGGACAACTATCGATAAGCGATAGATCTGTTTGTGGGAGAGGGGATTAAGGAATTTTTCAGTGGATATTTTGTCCTTTAAGAGAAGCAACCCAATGTTGAAAGGCCGAGGAGCTAAGAATTGCTTCTTTTGCTACACCTTATCCTGAAGTGTCTTTTTTGACAGGGCGTAAAGCCTACCTTTTGTTCGTTATCTGATAAGCGTCGAAATTCAGACATTTGTTAGGCATGCAAATTCAGGAAAGTCTCGATTTGGTTGGCTGTGGTTCCGTGCATAGAGACATGCAGATTTCGTGGTACGCAGATTTGGCCTCGATGGGTCCTGTCAATACTAAACAAGAAAACCTTTCAACAAACAAACAGCATTTCTAAGCCGGGGGCACACTTGTAGGCAGTGTGAGTCTTCTATTTGTTGGGAATGATAAAGGCAAACTAGTATCCTATGTCTCAAGGTCAAATTAATCCATCCCGAAAGGTTCCCCATATCCTGCATGAGAGGACATGGTAACATGAGACTGAATCGCTTACCGAAACGTTGAAAAGTTCCTGTCAAGTCATAGTACAATATTTATGGATAGCTTTTTCACAAATTCCAGGATATCTTAACATCACTCATACAACCTGAGAAGAGGATGCCAGTTGGTGTCCTGTTTCACACTTGGTTACCTGCCAGCTTTGGATTACGCTTCCTTCTTTAATTGACATACTACTCATTTGGATTATATAAGTAGTAAATTATGACAAGGAAAGCTACACCACTTTGGAAGGTTGTTGGATAGGTGACCTAGCCAATTTTTGAGTCTGTTAAGCGAAAAGGGCAAAAAATGTGATGACTCTCCAGCGTTGACGACTGTCTGTGCCTTAACGCCTTCTGACCTAAGCCTAGCTAGGTAAAAATTAAATACATCTATGATTAACTTTCAACCAGTTTTGTTTACTAATTTAGAATCGGAATACGTAAGTAACTACCCATAATCTGACAGTAAAGATAACGTAGCCGACTGTCACGTAAAAGGCTTTGCTGAAAAAAACTTTGAAGCAACATATCGAGCGAAGTAAGAAGTAAATGGCACGTTCATCCTGTTAGTGAAGTCGGTCGATGCTGAAAAGTCGACAAGCACTGTTTCATCCTTATTGGGAGTGTCTCTCAGGGAGTTTCGGATCCACAATCCCCCGGCGCTCAGCCGTTTGGCTATGAGTGGCTGACCAGCAGTGTTGTTTGCTCTCACTAAGACAGAGGGAGATGAAAACAGGTGGGATACTTTTGACAGTCCAATTCAATACTGACACTGTCGTGGCGACGTCGAGTGATGTCGCTTGAGTTCTGCTCAAAGGTGGGCGAAAGACTACTTGTCAACTTCCTCATTACGGAAAACATTATTGACCCGGCAGACCTACCCCACGTGATCAAATCTTTGCAGAATTCACAACGTTCACACAACGTTGATAATGGCCCAATGAAGAGACTACTGGTCACAGCTCATAGGCATAAATTGCAGTTTCTTCAGTCAAGCACATGGTTGCCACGGAATCAGATCGCATCAAAACCCGACAAAACAGGTCAAGCCTCCTCTGTTTTCTCTAAATTCTACATAAGAAAAATAACGCCGCTGCACAGCACACCTTAACGCAAACGACTTTGTAAGTAAAAGGATCTTGCTCTGCTTGTCTGAGAGCACTTTGCACGGGTAATTACGTCCAAAGTTCGGGTCAGCTCATCTCACTTTTTAACCAGTTACTTTACGTATCGATTCGAATACCTCCAAAGGTTACTGGAAACGCTTCGACAGCCTGCCAGCTGCTTAGCTTTTTTTTGGAGCTCATCAGGTAGGTGCAGTCTCATCAACCCTATGTTCTACCAAATTGTGTCTCTCTCCCAGGGCAGTTTACCATCGAGGGATACTTAAGTTGGTCTTATTCAGAACGACTGAATAAATAGATAAAAAGCACTTTTAGCACCAGTTGATTCGCATTACTTTGGTTGATGAAAACATACACAGTTTCAGACATTATTAATCACCCTATTTCCACAGATTTTTTCCAATTCCGTGATATCAGCCCCACCCAGAGATTGTTAGCTTGATTATGTGACAATCGTACTCCCATTGTATTGTCTTTGATCACTGGTTTTTTGGTCGCTACTGGACTGCTGTGTCCCAGATTTGGCCAAAAAGATAAGCAAATGTGGAGTTTGGAATAAGCGAACAATAGAGTAAAGTCCATTAGTTCGAGCAATAGCAACGTTACTGGAGGATAGATAAACTATTACTGGGCAGTCAGTTTCCCATCTTTTTGAATTGCACAGTAATTAACCAATCAGACTTCGGGGATGACACCCAATAATTTGTTAATAGATACGTAATGTGCATATACATCATTGGTGAAACGGAATCTCATTTGGTTAACTAACAAACCCCTTAGAGGAATAATTATTTCACACAAGATGAGTGAAACTCACATCTGATTAGTCGTCACTCGAGTAGCCATTCAACAAGTGTGACCACATTGGATGGGTGGCGCCATATCTCGCCTAATTAAGGGCTAATCACTCAACTGATGAGCTCCTCACGGTCAAACGCTTACGTGTTCAACCACTAACCGGAGGGTTAGCGAAATGTACACGGCTGATAATAATGATGAAACATCTGTACGATGTATTGTCGTCTTTTCAGCGCACGATGTGGTGGCTGGTGAGCCAATAAACGATCAAAAGTGTTGGTGTTAGCAGAGTCTATATCGACTTGGTAAAGTCTGGCGACGGGTAGAGTGCTCTCGTGTCTAGTTTGGTCATCCTTGTTCGGTTGATGCAATCTTGATCGACTGCTGGTCAAACTAAAACCTATGGACATCTTTTTAGGGCGAACCCACTGACTCTAGATGGGTGAGAATTTTAAAGGTGCAACTGAACGTCTTGAAGAATGTTGTGGAACTGAGCCAGCTACTTTCAAAATGAAAATGTGGACATCTATATCAAGGGATGCTTTACTCTAAGTGATACCCTCCAATACTTGTGGGACAATCCAATATCACATAGCACAGTGTGGCATAGTATACTATAGAACAGTAATATGGCATAACATAAAGCATTGTATGGTAAAGTATGGTATAGTATGGTACAGAATAGTGCGTACTGTAGTGTAGCAGAGTGTGGCCTAGTTTAGTGTGATATAACGTAGCACCATATAATATGGTATCGCATGATGGCACATGGTCGTATTGCATATTGTATCACCGTGTAGTATAGTTGATACAAAAGCTTCCTCAGGCCAGGTGGGCAGGTCAACAAGTTGGCCGGGTTTTAAGGCAGACAGGGTACCACTCAGTAGGACCTATTCAGATTAGCACACTAGTTCAGCGCTGGATGTCAAGTAAAGGGACTTATAGGTTGATATGGTTACCTAAATCTTCAGATTGATGGTTTGAAGCAATTTTTTAAATTACGTTCGATCTATAGACGTGATACACTGCTCACAAGTTTGCTAAAAACTCTTCGACAGCCCACGACCAGCTTGCAAATGAGTGGATTTCACTAATTTTATACAATTTGGGTTCAAGTAAAAAATAAGGTTGACGAAAACTCAGGGTCTGCGCCTGCCTGCCTCAAGAAGGGCGAAACCAGTCGATTAATTTTCAGCAACCCTATGAGTAGTGCATTACGTCTATACGTGTACAGTGGTATCTCGAATATCGTACCAACTGGTACATGAGGTGGCCCGGTGCAGCACATTCGGTTGCTTGAGAACAGCATAACCGAGAGATTCAGCTGAGTTCCAGGCGAGTCTCGCGCAAAGCCAAACTGGTTTGAAAATAAGTATGTTTCACTATTTTCGATTTAGTTTAGATCCTCAATCTTCTGATTCAAGGTGCTTCAGTTGGTGATTCACTTTGAGTACCACTGGTGGATTTCGTTGGTCTGTGTGGGCTTGTAAGTGTTACGACAATCTATTTGGAGGGAGCAAACAAAGATGTTTGAGAGTAAGTGTACCTGAGATGTACTTGATGACTCCTCTTTCTGAGAACCGGCACCACGTGTCAGCTCGGCTGATTTCCACGCGCTTGCTAGTTCTGAACCCACTATTCTATTAACACTGGGATCCTTGGTTAATTCCACCGCCTTGGTTTCGCCCCATGATAGGTTTCAAAACACCTTCCAAGAATCTGGCCAGGTTGAGGAAACTAATCCGTTTACTATCGGTCTCACCGGGACATTTGATTTCTGGATTTTTTATAGACCGTAAAGCCGTGTCTGGATTGCCCTCTTGGGGTATAATCGATACCAATCACCTTGCCCTGATTGGTTCATGACGCACCGCAAATACGTTCAGTATAGACTTAATATTCGTACTGTCGATCTACCGCTAGGGACACTCAGCTAGATATTGCCTAATCTTACAGAATACTTTATACATAAATGAATAAATAACATAGTACTTGAAAACAATCTTAAGAACTGAGGTTAGTTAGAC